ATGCATATTTGTTAAATATATAACACGTTTTAGTGCTCTTGTTCATTACAATCAAGAAATACAACAGTAATACTTCTAATGTATGGCTGCCAGGTAACCAATTCATGCCCTCTTCAGGCATATAGTAACAGAGTACAAAATACTTACAAAAATACTTTATTACTTATTTAAGTACAGTTTTGCAATATTTCTACTTTACTTGAGTATAAATGTCTGTTGAACTTTTACTTAAGTACATTTTGAAGAGAAAATTAAACCGTTACATTTCGTTACACCCTTACTGCATGTGACTGCAGTAACCTAAGTGCTGTAGAAGATGTTGTTCATTGTTGGTTCAAGATTCCCAATTAACTAATGTTAACAAACCCTATTTTAAAGTCTTCACGAAAAAAAGTATGCTTGTGCTATTCTTATATATTATATTTATTATATCTAATAAATAGCACTTGGTTTAATATTTTATTATGCTTGTAAATGTGCGGCCAAAAATTGTTTTTGTTAATATTATATAATATTTTATATAATATATTATTTTTTATATTTTTAAACCTATGTTAATTTGTATATTTTCTGTTTTAGTAATTGTGTTGTGTTTGCCATTTTTATAATTTTTTTGTAATATGTCTATATAATTTATTTAAATTACAGATTTACTTTTTTAGTTAATTTAGTTAAAATGTTTGTACTTCAACTTAAACGAAATGAGAAACTGGCTCAAATTAAATAATTTTAAGTTTTATTTCAGTTAATGTTCATTTTCTTTTAAGTAATGGCATTTTTATGGTTTTAGTTTGTTTTAGTTAACGATAATAACCCTGATGTGCCGAACAATGATACATTTGACCGCACTTTAAGGCAGTGACATTCAAAAACTGTTATAATTATGACTTTCTGGTCCAAATACTTTTTGGGGACATGTATTTTATTATTTTTTTTATTTTTTATTAATAATTTTTTTTCTCAAGCTCCAGGTAGTCAACATTCATTGGCTAGTAGCAAGAACAAGAGCAAGAACATCAACAAAATGATCGGAACACTTCTCTGCTTTGTCCCCCTTATAAGAGAAAATGAGTGCAACCTTATTACGATGTGAAAATCCATCCACGGACTTTCAAAAGAGCCACTGTTTAAAAAAAAACTAACAAACAAAAAAAAGGCTTCATGGGAAGGGAAGAGATATTAACAAGTGACATTTTGTGATTTAGCCATCAGCTGTTCTGAGTGAGATCACAGTGTCAGAGCTCGGTTATTTACCTACACAGGAGGTCTGAAGATGATTCAATAAACAATATTTTCCAGAGAGCAGACAGACGTCCCTTAAGGGGGGCAGCCAGCACTACATATCCCACTCACACAGCGTCATTCCTTGATATAGACAGGAATAGTCATTCCCAGCGGTCGGACTTTATCATGCCTGCCTGGTGCTGAGAGAACACTGTTAACACCAGTCCATAAAGTGCGGGCCAGTCTGGCACTCTACACACTACAGGCTTGGCACGAGCACAAAAACACTCTCTCGGGTCAGTTTCTCTCTCTCGCACTGCACGGACCAACTGGCAGCGCATTTGGCAGAGGACGAAGAGCCTTGCGATTCTCTCTCACATAAACACATAGCGGTAAACAAATGGATCATCAGTGCCCACTAACACCAAACCGTAATGCTGTTACATCAGCAAGGTCATGCCTGTTATGCCACGATAATATAAATGAGAATGTGTGGAGAGGGAAATCAGTGGTGAATTCAAAACACACACGCTCCTCTGCCATATTTTGAGGTGATGAGCCAAAATTGACATTTTCTCCTCTCTTGCATGAAAAATGTCTCCGGGTCAAGTAAAACAAACGTAAGGTGACATTGGCATTTTTAACATGCTCGTTCATCCTTGCTAAACATGTTCACATTGTGATAATCACAGGAAAGATGAATGTACTTTGGCATGCGCTGTGTAGACCGGACTGCAGCTGTGAGAGCCAACTCTAGCACTGGCTAATGAGCGTCTGGGCCGCTTGACACATGTTCATAAACTGCCGACAGAGGCCCTTGACTTTCTGTAGCACTAGGTGAGCGTGGCTAGTGGAGACAGGCTAATTAGTCGTGATGTGCTGACGATGAAGTCAGCATGCGTTTTAGAGGGTACATGTGGAGTTGGAGTCATTTGGGTAATATTCAACAAATTTCATGTCCTGATACCTCAAAACAACCTTGCTAACAAGAACACAATTAGCACTAGCCAGGGCCCCTAAAACCAGGTGGAGGCTTAAACCGGACTTAGTCAGCTGTTAAAAAGTATGTAATTTTTAAAAACTGGAGCCATGCAAGAACCTCTTTACCTGCAGAATCCTAAACTGCTTGGAATGAAAGCTACTTCATTGGCTGAACTTTTTTTAAAGAGATAGTTCACCCAAAAATGTATATTCCATCATTTACTCACCCTCATCTTGCTCCAAACCTGTATGCATTTCTTTCTGCTGCTGAACACAAAAGAAGATATTTTGCCATTGACTTCCATATTTTTTTCATATTTCTATCAAAATATGTTAACTAATGCATTTTAAATTATATATTACATTATCAGAACAAGATATACAATAACATGTAATGTTTTGGATCAGACATTTCCTGTCAGTCTTCTAATGTCCTATACAATAAAGGCAAAAAAAGATGATTGATAAAATCATAAAATTAATTTTTAAGAGCTTCCATTCATTCGCTTATTCGTACATAATTTGATATAGTTTTAGCATACATTAGTCACTTTCAAACCAAGCAGGTTTGTGCGAATCTGTGTGAAAAACTGCATTGATTCATATTGAATGGTTGAAATGTACCTGCAAAAATTATACCAAACAATGGTAAATGTGGCTACACTACAAGACAGTGACGTTCAAAATTGGTTTAATTGTGACTTAATGGGACATTTTACAATTTAAACTCCTTCTCAAACTCCAAGTAGTTGACATTCATTGGCCAGGCCATTAAACATTGAGTGAAATGTTTCCAACCCTGTTACCTAGTAATGTCAGCATGGCCTAATTAATATTCATAAGAAAAAGCCATGTCATTTACCCCCCCAATTTTCAAAAATTGTGCAAATTTAATCACTCATTTTTAATTATTGATTTTGAATCTAAGTTTGACTGAACTTGCGACACCAAGCAGCGTGTGGGTGCTGCTGAAGTAACTAGTGTAATGAATACTACAGCATGAGTGAGTGGGTTCTTAAGTTGCCACCACAGCAGTGTACATTATTGCCACAAGACTGCGTCATTAGGATGGACTTTGGGGCTCTGTCACTGAATCAGAATATGATTGCATCAGGTGGCCATCTTGTTAGTGCTCTCTGAGATTGAGGCTGTCAGGAGGACAGCAATCGAGCCCCTCATTACAGTCCACTCGAGCCACACTGACAGACAACCTCCCACCACCGGAGACACAGATCTATGAAGATCCTGCTGGTGTAGGGCTTTGTCACTTGTCTCATTTAAGTCCAACTTAACTAGTGTTGTCCAAAAATAATCATTATATACTGATCACATTGACCTTAATTTCAACAGAGATTTCAAATCAGTGCATGATGTACAGTAGATTGCAAACACACAAAACACATTGAAGGTAACAGCAAAAAAAGATTTACATTTTTACATTTTCTTCAGAAAGTTAGAGGTCACCTAACAACTGTCTCTGTATTTGCTAATTCATTGCTAAGGTGTTCAGATTGGTCTCTAGGGCATTGCTTCGGAGTTGTGGGCAGTTGCTATGGTGTTACTAGGTAATTGCTTGCTGCTCAAAATTAAAAGGGTCCACTTTTAAGTTTCTATGATATTCAGATCCCTAGATATGAGTGAGGTATGAAATGAGTTTTCAATGGAAGTCTATGGGATATTTTCACCCGTTTAAATGTTCAAATCATCTGATTACTTAGAAAATGAATCCAATTAGTGGAATAATCTGTAATACTAGCAACATTTTGGGTGGGAGAATAATAAAGTATGAGCAGTAATAATAGCTATGTTTGCCAATGAAAAGAATCAATAACTATAGCACAAAACATCAAAAGAAAAACCAAAATGAATAATACAATTTAAATTCAAAACTTGTAATACATAGAATTATTTGATTTCATACTATATTGTGACATTCTTCTGAGATTTTTAGCGAGTTTAGCGAATTTAGCAAGTGATTGGTCTATCAAAAATATAGCCCCACCCCAAACACACACCATTGGTTGAGCTGTTACAGTGTCAGAATGATCAGGAGGCTCAAAACAAACAGAACTATACAAACAACTATATCAAACAAATAGCACCATAGAGACACAGTGTTATGGTGTGGTCACACTGGCGAAAATTCAGCCAAATTTTGTAGACAAAAAAAAAAAAGTCTATTGTCAATAGTGTAGCAAAGTATGAAGCACCATTTACACACAAGTCGCTTTCAAACCAAGCAGCTTTCTGCTGGTCAGTGACCCATTTGAACCTGTTGTGAAATCTGTGATATTATATTAAAATGACTGGATTTCATCCAGTCTGGATTGTCAAACAATGGCAGATGTGACCGCCCTCTTACACTTTTCATAGAAATCAACCTACAATAGGTTCACTCTGCATATTACTTTGCACATATTGTCCCTGCAAATTAAATTAAGAGAAAATCTTTACCACTGTAAAAACATACACACTTCAGCTTTAACGGTGCTTGACCTTTTAAATGAAGGTTGTTTATGTAGAGTTAGATGCACAAACACTTGAAACCCACACATAAACAGAAATGCATAACAAGCAGGTTTATGTAAAAACAAAGAAAGAAGTATGAAGCAATTAGCATCCAATATTCATTCTGTGTACATATATAGAGCACCTCATTAGCAGCAAACAGCTTTACAGTGTGTAAATAAATCACAAAACGATCTATAATGAAAACACAGACTTAATCTAACAAACCAGTATACCATGAGTTACTTTGGTAGTAGTACCGTGGTCTACTGATAATCCAGTGTGTGCAAACCGTGAGGCAGGGTACACAAGTAGTGATGTCATAAGGGGCCACCCCTGCTTTGGGGGTCTTGCACTGCAAAAATCACTTAAATAAGAGATTTTGCAGAACTAAACAGATAACACATCACTGTCACCACACTCTTCCTCCCAGTACTGCCTACCCTGTTGAAAAAAAAACAGCATATGCTGTTTAGGTATGTTTTGAAGCATGGCAGCTGGTTTGAGCTGGTTTAAGCTGGTCATGAGCTGGTCCTAAGCAACTTGCTCCTGCTCAGGACCAGCTTAATCAGCTCAAACCAGCTGCCATGCTTCAAAACATACCTAACCAGCATATGCTGTTTTTTTAACAGGGTACTTTGCCAACATATTTTTTCAAAGTCAAGCCAACAGTATTCATGTCAGGTACTTCACTTATGTTGTTGAAAAGTTGAGCAGAGAAGTTTGGGAAGGAGTGCCACTGCACAATGTATGGGATCTCCCGTCTGGCTTTGCTCAACCTCTCCATTAATCTCTATTGTAAATGTCTCAAGAGCTTCCCTCAAACTCCTGGAGTCTGGATTCACAATCCACAAAGCTACATGTACACACAGAGCAACCCGTTGGGAACATGAAATTTCATCTATCTGTATTCTCAGCTTCTCACACACGTTGTGAATCATTATGCCACATGGGACATACGGAAATGGAGACGTAGAGGAAACTGCCTCCATACCTCCAGGAAATCGTATATATTGACTTTATTCTATTTTGAATTCACAAGCCCAAGTGGTTCCTTGTGGGTTATAAGGAGAGAGGTGAAATGTATCCCCATACTTCAGGTTTGAATGACAACAAAATATGAAAGGTGCATGCTGGGAAATTGAATCCAGGAGCATTTGCAATAGGTTTAAAATGACCAAGTCCCTGTAATGTGGCTGTTTCATAACTCAAGGATTTCCTACTTTTACAGATTCACTTTTACAGACTTTTAACCAATCCAGGGATTCTCCTGGATTTCATTAACACAATGAAAACTTCATTTAATAACAATAACAACCCTAATTGCTTAACATAATGCATATTTATAATTAGAAATGTCAAAGGTTTGTGACCTTTGTGTGAATGAAATCATTATGAATGCTTAATATGAACTTTTGATCTATAAGCATTATATAATAATTGGTAATTAAATAAATGTAAGCTGTAGTGTTATTAATTCTTAATGAAGCTCAACAGTGTCCACTCTGGAATTCACATTCATTTTCTCCATTAGAAAGCTTTCTGGAAAAAGGTCCAAGTGCAACAAACCAACCAGATGTGAGATGTATCATAACATTATTTGATTCTAAGCCAAGGAGGATGCCTATTACATCCTTTGCATCACGTCCTTTGTCCTATCACAGATTCACGGCACTATTGGACTGCACAACAGAGAGTTTGTTTAATGTTTTACTGAGCTGCTGGTAAGTTTCTGTGTGATTGCGTGGGGCTTCTCACATTCCTCCACTTCACCGCTCACAGTACAAATTGATATGAGGATTTTAGTGCATTTTCACTTTAAAGTTTTAACTTTTTATGTTTTTTTTTTTAAATCCTGAAAAATACTCAGGATTTACACTGAAAATTGTTGTGATTTGTCTTCATATATCTGATCATTATCTTATTATGTTTCATGTGGTCGCTAGGGATAGACATCTCCTTCTCTGTGCCATATTCACATTTTTTTTAAAACAATCATTGCAGCATTTTCTTAATTTTTCCCTTTTGAGGTTCTAACTTCAGGATTTTCAGCCTCTGTGTTTATAGAGCTGTCAATATTTATGAGCTTATCACAGAGACAGATGCAACCACTGATGCTATAAAAAGTTTTAGAGACCCCCAGCGGGTGTCACTGTTAAATACACATGCACACACACGCACGCAGACCACCTCATGTACATTCACAGCCCCTGGTTGAATCCTGGCCATAACAGATTGCAGACTGTGGGTTGGGATGTGTAGAGCTTTGTGAGTGACAGGTGTTTGAATTCTGCTGAGTTTTCACTGAGCATGCAGATTCAGTGTGGATCAACCGATCACTCAATATTCGCAGAATCCTACACAAAGGTTCATACCTCTGGGCGTTACTGTTTACGGGAATCCTCCAGCCTTTGATCTGACTGAGTTCCGTATCTGAAACTTCGATGTGCAGAGGCAGTTTGGGAATCCAGACCTTCACCTCCAGCTGGGCCCTCAGGTAACCGTACGTGAAGTTCAGCAGCATTCGGACCCGTCCTCTCATCTCTTTGCCATTCACGTAGATGTAATCACACCTGTCCGATACCTGAGAGCAGAAAAAAAAGGATGTCAGTGATGATGGAGAAGTGAGAAAAGAACAGTGGATTGATCTTTTCAAGACACATTAGTGAACTTCACATTACCAAAATCAATACAATGCTTCTGAGAAAAAGTCAATGTATACTTGCAATGGATTGGCAGTGAAGTCTGACAATATTGGAAAATATTTTATTTTGAAGAGCCGGCCTTGACTCTCTGTCAAAAGTTAGTGATATGGTATAAGTATCTCCTTAAGTTATGGGTTATAAAACAAAGAATTGACCACAACATTCACCTACACAGATTTAGGTCATGATTAAATATCCCACGTCTTAACATTACTGGGTTGTATTTTTATCTTGGCTCCCACAGTCTCTCAGTTGTTCTCATCTCTTTCAGTTCTTCTATTGGTTTTCACCTTTGAATGAAAAGATAAAAGCAGTACTGGCTCTATCACATTTAACAGAGCACTACAGATGCCCAAGATGAAAACAGCACTTGTTATCTTAAGGTAAAAGACTGAAGGTATAACTGCATGTGTGTGAGTGGGTTTTGTTATGGTATGTAAACTAGATCTGATACCACATGAAAATGTCCTCAATTCAACTAAAATGATTCATAAATGAAATAAATACATTTTTATTCTAAAAATGTCAAACATTTTCTTTCAGGGTTTGGGTTTGTGTTTTTAAAGGTCTATGATATGTCAATTTAGACTGCCAAGTAAAAGTGTCTGTGTGACTAAGGCTAACACTGCAAGTGTTAGTGCTTAATTCTGATTTATTCCTCAGATCCGATTATTATTATTATTTTTAATTTTTTTTTAATTTTGTATTTATTTTTTTTAACTGATCACGATCCTGAACTGACCTGCGTGCTCAAACGAATGATAACAAGATGCCATGATGTGCGCTGTCATATGGAAGTAAACGCAGCAGCCACTGAAGTACCCTTACCCAAAAGTAGTATACTTCAAGTTTATTTTATTAAGTATACTTAAGTAAAGTTCAAGTATATTTTTAAGTATACTTCATGTAGTAAGTATACAAATATCAGTGTACTAGTAGTATACTTGTAAGTGTACTATTTCAATACTCCTTGGGACTAAATTGGCCCACTTTCTAGTATATAAAAGTATACTTTTAAGTATACTTTAAGTATAACAGTAGTAAACTTTGAGTACACAACTAGTTTACATCTTATGTTTTTAGTTTGTACTGCAACTATACTAAAAGTGAACGTATAGGTATACTGATAGTTTACTAATTAAATACTTGTAGCATTTAAGTATAGTCTCAGTAAACTATTAGTTTAGTAGCTTTATACTGCAAGTATACTCGTAAGTTTTCTTTAAGTGAACTTTACATCATACTTTAAGTAT